TGAACGGCTCTTGCTTCCTATCCATCAAGGCAGGGATCGCCCAGGCCCCCCGCGCAAAAAGGAGCGGCACGGCAGTACGTGCATTGAACTAACCTTTATTCAACAGTGCAGGATCTCAGAGATGAGAATCATATATACGGCGGTCACAACGACAATGTTCATTGAGAAGGCCAGACCTGGCGAAGATAGCGAGCAGCGCGTAGAAGACGAGAAGAGTTCATGGTCGCTTGCAAGCGATTTCAGAGGCTTATATCGCAGTTTTGGTGATCAGTATCGCTGGGGACCGGAGCAAGCGAAATGCCTGAGGCCCTTCAGATGCAACTCGGAGGGCTATGTTGAAATTTTTTTATGAAAACGTTGCATTCGTGGACAATCCCGAGTGTTCAAAGCCGCAACGCCTCAAAATGTCTTTCGAAGTAGCTGGCTCTGACGTCGAACCTCCACCACTCATTGTTCATAGAAGATTGGGAACCGAGCAGATGCGAATGGTTCAATCCTCACAATGTAACCCTCTGGTTGGTCAAAAACTAGTCGCCTTGTGAGGATGTAACAGATGTGTCCTCCACGGTTAAATTTCTAAGCGATCAACGACCACGCGTATTTTGATGATGTATAATTACCGGGCATTGTCGTTCTGAACGGTCAACAATCGCTTACGGAGCAAGTCAATGATTTCTAGGCTTGCCATTCGAACTTCTCGAAGTTCAACGACCAGTCTCTCTGGGCCGATGAAGCACTCTTGCCCTCCATAGTCCGGCATGCTGAGCGGTCAACAACCACACATCTTGTGCCAAAGTAGAGGTGCTGTTCCTCGGAACCTGTTGTTTTGAGTGGCTAGTGGGCCTGGCTTCTGCAAGATATGCAATTGACCCATATTCCAGAGTCTGCCAGACTTCAGCGTATTCAGCCCTGCTGCCCTGCTTTTCTTGAGGCCCATAGTCTTCTCAACTCCTTTAAAGCGCTCATGACTAATGGCACACCTACAGGCCCCAGTAATGGCAGATAGACAGCGACCTTATGCTCGTCTGGGAAGTAGACTTGGCCAACCATACTCTTTTCGAAGAACCCCTTCTCAGCTTGAACCTCAGCGATCCGAGCATTTTTCAAGGCATCCCTGAATCTACCTTCCTTCAAAGCATCACACGTGGTCCGTAGATGCATCATCGTAGTGTCAACTGCCGATGATACCGTCTCCGGAATGGCAATTGAAGGCAAGGCCACGGTAAGATTAGCTAACGACCCCATAGTTGATGATGCAGACAGAAGAAGCGATGCGGCACGTATGCGAGTGAGAGTTTGTAGCTGTAGCGGTAGGGATGGAGGAGTTTGAGGAGCTCCCAAGAATGATAGTAGCTGATGGGAGAAGGTCAGGAGCGCTGGCCGGATCGATTCCTTGGACAGAGTCGCTTCATTGGAGGTAGCATTGGCATCTTGAGGGTTCAAGATCACCACACCACCCCATTGAGGGATCAGCCAGCCCGAAGCTTGGCTTCCCTTGACCACCAGTGGTGATGTCGAGGGATTAGGCACGTAGAGTACAAAGTTGAGCGTTGGTCCAGCCCCTATGCTTGGGCTCAAAGGCCATTCAGCCGCGTTAATGAACCCACTCAGATCTTCTTCTCGCAGGGTCCATATCTGTTGCTCTGTGTCGTATTCTGGTGAATGGACCGATGGAGAGAATGTCGCATACAATTGCACCTGAGTATCAACGGTGAAATTACTCACACCAGATATGGAATCAAGCAGCGGGGTGAAGTACTCCGCAAGGGCCGACTCGATCTCCCATGACGATGGTGCAGCAGAAGGCGTGAAGAGGGACACGGTTATGTGATATGTTGGCGCGTATTTGAGAGATCGAGCCATACGGCTATCCAGTTTCGCCACAAGTTCTGGATTGACAGATCTATGAGACCTTGATCTGAGCTCCCTCGTCGCAGAAGACGCAGATGAGGACATCTGAGGTGCTTGACTCCTTGTTTGGGCGGACTGGAGGATATTGGCGATGATAGCTTGCTCCTCGGCGAACAGCTCCTGCAGCTTGGTGGCGATGAAAGTAGCCAAGTTTGAAGAGCTCGAGGAGACCGAGGGCGTCTGATTAGAGGCATAGAACACGTCGAGCCTGGTTGAATGAGACCGCAGTTCTGCTGAAGCTGCTTGAGCACCGGGCTTTGGCAGGATTCTGACCGTCAAAGCTTCCTCATCCAGCACGTCCGTGCGGCCATATTGTGTGTGAGACCCAGCGGCATATCCATCTTGTATTACCGCCATTGACGCGTTTTGAGGATCCCGAGGGAGGAAGGACTTTGCCAATCGCAAACGCAGATGGTGGGCGGAGAACTCATTGAGGTCGTCGAGTGCATGTTGGGTCACACGAACGAGATGTGCTGCTTCAGGTTCTTGAAGAAATGGTGCTTCGATGGTGATCTGAAGAGGGAATGTGGGTTTGCAGGCCTGCAATATGTTCAGCGAATAATGTACACCATCCAGAATGGGACGAGTACCTTCCCATCAGCCCAGTCTAGCATGTCTTGGAGCGGCAAACTCGCCCGGTATATGGAGGTAGTCCATAGCCATACTGGTAAGCCAAGCAAAACAACTACAGCCCAGAAGGATAGGATGACAAGGCCCCGGGTCTTTATGCTCTCGGGACTTTCTGGTGGAGGCTGGTTTTTAGCATTCGCCGGGTTTGATGCCACCTTGAAGTTCGCATCCTCAGATGCAGTATCGATACCCTGCGCCATGATGAGGGTATACTACCCAGACACTGGTGGTCTGAAAAGGGCGCACGGTTCGAGATCGTGGCTGTCAAACAAGAACCTCCCAGGGAACTCTCTCAGCCCTACAAGAATTCACTGCCCTCGGCGAAACTTTTGGCCGAACGAGGTCACCACAACCGCCTGGTACTATTTTCACTTTTAATATCAGTACTTAAGCCAGATAGCAGCATTGACTTCAGAGATCATTAACATATGCTTGAGCTATTTCGCTTGGGTCAATACCATTCAACCGGCCTAGGGATTGCCATGAATGCCTGCGCGTAAAGATTAGCTCGTCATAAAGTACTATTTATATAGTCCCGGGAGCTTTCGCTTAAGAAAGCCCCTCTACGAAGACCGCATTAACCCAACATAAGCCTAGGACCCACATGAAACTTTGGTGACATGAGTTCTGGGCATATAAACAATTTTGTTCGACGTTTTGCGGTCAAGTTACACTAGGAGGGGCGGTAAATAAGGACATACGCGTCTTCTTCATAACATTTTGTGCAAGAAGTTGGCACCGGCGACAGTGCAGTCGCCACAGCGCACAAACCAGGGATCCCCTCCTTCGAACACACTACTCCAAAGAACTACTCCGCCGTCAAGCTCGCCATCACAGAGCTCAGCGACATCCAATCAGCCTTTGCAACCGTATTCGATAAGTTCGGCCGCGTCGATTTGGTCAACAATGCAGGGTACAGTAGACATTTTGAAGAGCTATCAGATAGCCAGATCGGGACACAAAAGGAAGTCAATACTTCGGCTTGATCAACGTTACTAGGATGGCTGTGAGGGATTAGAAGCCCAGCGGGGGGTGGGTCTAACAAGTCATCTCTACCGGAGGCAAAAGAGGGTAAGGCTCCCTCATTAATCCCCCGGAACTCAAACCCTACTAACATCTATACTCGTACAGACTGCCAATGTTCAACATCTACTGCACCTCCAAATGGGCCGCCGAAGGCTTTATCGAAGCCCTCTTCTGCAAAGTCAAACCAGAATGAAACATCCACTTCACATGCGTCGAGCCCGGCGATTTCCGCACCGACTACACCGGACGCTCCGTGAACTTCCTCGCCCAGCGCCGTTCAGCCTACAACCACATGAGCGCCGAAGAAGCAATAGCAAAGCAGCGGTTATGAAGGAGCAGTTGAAGGTGATTGTAAGGTCATTTATCCTATGTTCTTCTAATCTTTAGCCTATCACACACGCTTTTTTGCTCAAATAGAATTTCGAAAGTCCCTACTCACAAGCTCCAGATCTAGTAAGCCATGAATGACTTGACTCGGATAATAGGTCAGCGCTGTTTCCCCGATCGTCAAGCGGTACGAAAAGTGTAGAGTGGCTTGACCCGCACTGATCGGACGCGGCGTGTGTCTGAACTCGAATGGTTATTCTCGTTAAAAGTCTCCCAGTGACTTTAGGAGATTGCTACGCAGCAAGTTTTTATACGACTATATCTAGCATATTGTATGCCGACCTCCTCTTATAATGTTTCTTTAAATCTCGACAAGATTCGTAAAGCGTCGCAAATGTGCCTCTTTCGAAGACACAGGATTGGGGATTCGAGATGACGATACTAGACGACATGAGTCAGCTTCTGTCTGTAAACTCGTTACCTGCAGAAAGAGTTCTTCGATCTATTCGTAGGGCGAGAACGGCGTCGGACACGAAGGGTCGCTCGCATCAGTCATGCAGTCGCAGTCGATGTACTCCATCCACGATTCCTCACAGAGATCGAGTCCAGGCTCGAACTCCAGCGACCTAATAATATTAATATACCTCAAGTACGCTCTTACCACTTCTCGCCGAGAAGCACTTTATAAGTCATTAAGATTTCCCAAGTCGAACACGTGACAGCAGCAAGTCTCCTAGTAGATCCCCCGTAAGCCAACTTCCGCGTGACCGAGTTGCTGCAAGAGAAAGAAAAGTGGATTGAAAACTTCACCGTGATAATATAATGAAAGGGATGATACTCGATCTATAATTAGCTATATGATGGTCGGCGGGCCGAGCCGTAAATAGTCACCCCGCTCTACTCTATATTGCCAGCTGTCTCCTATCTAGAACAATCATTAGATTCATTACAGTATCAGAGTCTAAACTCACTGCCGGCCCGGTCCGGTATCATCGACAGTCGCTTGGTGTCACTAGGAGCATCATATTAAGGATTTCTAAATATATACTTTGAGACAATCCAATACGGATACCTATATATTCTGGCAATCCCAGAGCATCGGCATCATGGCTTCCGAGCAAGCTTCGCGGTCCCGTCGTGGCAAAGGCGAACATAAGAGTATGCGCCATAAAATCAAAGGTTTCTTCAAAGGTTTCTTTTGGCACAAGAAGAACGCGACGATTCCACAAGCAGGGTCCCAAGTGGCACAACCTAAAGAAGACTCTAAGACCACGGTTAGCGTATATCATTCGAAAGTGATGATTTAGTCAAACTCTAATACCCCTACAGAATGACTCGGAATTATTGCAACCCTCAAAGCACGAAATGTCGCTAGAGAACTCGCTTAAGCGCCAGAAGTCACCACTCGCCACAGGCCAAGAACCACATCCACCGCTGACCCAGCACGGTCATGATAAGGATTTGGTCGCTATTGAAGATGCAAGGAACTCGAAAGATTCTGCTATTGGAGATGCAAAGAACCCGGAAGATTCTGCTGATGGAGATGCAAAGAACCCGGAAGATTCTGCTGATGGAGATGCAAAGAACTCGAAAGATCTGTGGCTACAGGCATATGAGGCATTGAAACGTCGAGACAAGGATTTGGTGGCAGCTTATGAGGATCAGTTGGCCGACTTGGCCTCTACCATTACCAATTCCGCAGATCCTTCTCTAAGCCCTGAACTTATCGAGACCATTATCAACTCAGAGTTGCAACACCGGAAAGCTGCTCAGTGGGTCGTCATGGTTGGCAAGAAACCAGTCAGAGTGCGGGAACAGGGTGAAAAAGTCATCACATTCATCATCTGGTCCAACGATATCGTTTCTCAAGCTCTTAGCGCCCAGCCGTACGCGGCGTTAGCGTGGTCAGGGGTTTCGATTCTTCTTCCGGTAAGCTGTACTCTGATATAGAAGCTGTACTTGTAATTGCTAAATCAAGGTATAGCTCTTATTAAATTCCTCAAAACAGAGTGATGCTATGATAGAAGGCCTCAATACCATTTCTGACCTTTTAAGTTTGTACAGAGTTATAGAAGAGCAGTATCTACGGGATGCCAATAAGATTGCTGATCCAGGCTTCGTCCAGGCTGTCGTAGAGCTCTATTCCAATATCTTCGAGTATCAATTTCGGCTGATTTGCCATCTATCTCGGAGTTCAGCCAAGCGAGCCTTTCGGAGCACACTGGAGCTGGACAAGTGGGGAGACATGCTGAAAAAGGTCCAAACCTCCAACGACAGTTGTGAGAAGTATTGTCCACTCTCCGACAGACAGAGAGAAAAAACATTCTACAACAATGCATCGGATCACATGTTGCGATCACTTGATATCCAGAAACGCATCTTGGACATGTTTGAAGCATCTCAAGCAAGCAGACAGCAAGATCGTCGAGAGGACAAAGAGAGCAGACAGCAAGATCGCCGAGATGACATAAAAAGCAGACAGCAAGATCGTCGAGAGGACAAAGAGGACAAACTACTTGAGTCTCTGGCATCCGATTATAAAAGTGATAAGGACTCGGTTTCAGTAAGAGTTCCAGGTACCTGCGAGTGGTTCTTTGAGGATAAAAGGTTCCTGGAGTGGCGGGACAATGAGCACTCAAGACTTCTCTGGGTCTCTGCGGGCCCCGGATGCGGGAAGTCTGTGCTGTCGCGATCCTTGATCGACGATAGGAGAGTCTGTACTAGTGCTATGACTTCGACCGTCTGCTACTTTTTCTTCAAGGATGGCCAAGAACAACGTATGCGTGGCGCTAATGCGCTGAGTGCTATGCTTCACCAGCTCTTTGAGAACACCGCTCTCATTAGCCATGCGCTTCCGAAGGCTAGGACCTATGGTACGAAGCTACGAGATGCATTCGGCGAGTTGTGGGAGATTCTAACCAAATGCGCTCAAGATTCAGAAGCAGGCGAAATCATTTGCATCATCGATGCTCTGGATGAGTGCGAAAAGAATTCAAGGTGTCAACTACAGGACGAGCTAGTGAGATTTTCCTCACAAGTAGACAAGAGTTCTTCACACAAACTCAAGTTCCTTGTGACCAGTCGTCCTTACGATGACTTGGAGGATGGTTTTCGACCACTCTCAGATGTCAGCACCTATCTCCATTTTGATGAGGACGATAAATCACAGAGAATCGGCCAGGATATCGATCTGGTAATTGATCACGAAATGCCACGTATTGCGAAAGGCTTCAGTGCTGAGCATTGCAATAGCATCACTAAAAGGTTAAAGAAGATGAACAATCGCACCTATCTTTGGCTTTTTCTGACGATCGATATCATCACGAGATCTCCGAGTGCATACGGCAAGGAATCGGATATAGGTTCACTATTATCCGATCTGCCGTCAGAAGTCTCTAGTGCATACGAAAAGATTTTATCTAGGAGCTCAGACCCAGAGCGAGCTCGAATTCTGCTTCAGCTTATTATGGCAGCCACAAGGCCGCTTAGCCTCCAGGAAGTCAATGTTGCCTTGACATTAGCAACTCAGAAAGAAAATTGCACATCGTACAAACAACTTGACTTATGGCCCCCAGAGAATTTCAAATCCACTATTCAGAATATATGCGGTCTCTTCGTTAGCGTTCACGATGGAAAGGTATCCTTGATTCATCAGACTGCAAGAGAGTTCCTCCTTATTCGAAACACCGAATTGCCTTCAAACAAGTGGCAAGGATACTTAGATATGACAACGGCCCATTGCACAATGTTCCAGATCTGCCTCGACTACCTTAACTTACATGAATTCACTATACCTGTGGACCAGCTGGATCCAGACAATCCTCTCCAACAAAGGGATGAACTCTTCCAATATGCGGCTCTCAACTGGGCTATTCATTATGTTTCACAGGATAGCGAACGAGTCAAAGATTCATGTGGCGCTGCAAAACTATGCGATATATCACTACCGCAAAGAAGTGACTGGTTCGACACATACTGTGATGAGGCTTACCTATATCCTGCGGATTGGAATAGCCTGGGAATAGCGTCTCTGCTTGGACTGAGAGACGTCGCTGAAACTTTCTTAAATAAAGGGGCTGATATCGGGGCTCAGGGTGAAGGCTTTGCCAACGCTCTCTGCGCAGCGTCAGAAGGAGGTCATGAGAAAGTGGTGCAGATGCTGCTGGACAAAGGGGCTGATATCAATATCAACACTCAAGGTGGACTTTATGATAACGCTCTATGTGCAGCGTTACAAGAAGGTTATGAGAAAATAGTGCAGATGCTGCTGGATAAAGAGGCTGATTTTGACGCTCAGAATGGATATTATGGTAACGCTCTCTGCGTAGCGTCACGAGGAGGTTATGAGAAAGTGGTGCAGATACTGCTTAAGAAAGAGGTTGATATTAATATTCAGGGTGAACATTATGGCGATGCTCTCTACGCAGCGTCACAAGAAGGTCATGAGAAAGTGGTGGAGATGCTGCTGGATAAAGAGGCTGATGGCTTTGGCAAGGCTCTCTGCGCAGCGTCACGAGGAGGTTATGAGAAAGTAGTGCAGATGTTCCTGAACAAAGAGGCTGATGTCAGCGCTCAGGGTGAAAGCTTTGGCAACGCTCTCTACGCAGCGTCAGAAGGAGGTCATAAGAAAGTGGTGCAGCTGCTGCTCGGTAAAGGGGCTGATATCAACGCTCAAGGTGGAGACTATGGCACCGCTCTGCAGGCAGCGTCATTAGGAGGTTATGATCAAATAGTACAGATGCTGCTCGATAAAGGGGCTGATGTCAAGGCTCAAGGTGGAGAGGCTCTGCAGGCAGCGTCAGAAGGAGGTCATGAGAAAGTGGTGACGATGCTGCTCGACAACGGAGCTGATGTCAACGCTCAAGGTGGAGACTATGGCTTTGGTAACGCTCTCTACGCAGCGTCAGAAGGAGGTCATAAGAAAGTGGTGCTGATGTTGCTCGATAAAGGGGTTGATGTCAAGGCGCAAGGTGAAGAGGCTCTGCAGGCAGCGTCATCAGGAGGTTATGACAAAGTGGTGCAGATGTTGCTCGACAGAGGGGTTGATGTCAACGCTCAAGGTGGATACTATGGCAACGCACTGCAGGCGGCGTCAGAAGGAGGTCATGAGAAAGTGGTGACGATGCTGCTCGACAACGGAGCTGATGTCAACGCTCAAGGTGGAGTGTATGGCAACGCTCTGCAGGCAGCGTCATCAGGAGGTTATGACAAAGTGGTGCAGATATTGCTCGATAAAGGGGCTGATGTCAAGGCGCAAGGTGGGAAATATGTTAGGTGGTAAAGCACTGACGAGTGAATATATTTCGTAGTCGGAGTGGCGTTTGAAACAATCGTTGCGTTCTGTTTAGACCCTTGACTTATGAGAGACGCGCGCTCCTTATACGTCTTTGTTGCAAGCTGGTGAAATTTCCCATCAGAGCGGACGTCCGTGCCTTTAAATCACTCGAATCAGCGAGCGTTGCATTACTGATTGGCAATATGGGAGGTTGGCCATCTGTGACTTTCGCAGGGCTTGTGTCGCACATCTAACGATATCTTCGCAGCTGAGTCCCAGAAAGCTTGCATGCGAGACTCATTTCAGCAATGTGCCGCTCGAATTGAAACTTGGCCTCCCCATTGCTAAGGTATCGGCCGGGGTGGTCGGCACTTCAGTTTCCTAGTTTTCAGCTGAGCTATTCTGATGGATAATGAGCACTGCAAAAGCAATCACTCTTCTTCAAATCCCGCCCACCAATCGGGAGATTGTTCATGCTCGTCAGCGTAGATGGATGCTCCTTGGGTCGGCACTCCATTTCATGATCTGGCAAAGAATATCAATACGGGTGTCTGAAAGACAGTAAGGCTCATTTTGCCGCTCATATGAATCGAAGTTGGCCCCGTCCGCATACGAAAGCTTGGACAGACACCGATCTTGCTCCCCTAAATCCAGCTTGACATCAAATCAAGCATCAAAGAGCTGTTGAGATTAGCTTGATCCAGATATTTAAGCTGGCAATATCTTACGTAATCTGTCACTTCTGGTTACCAAAACTCCACGTGATCCGCCAAGAGATACCAAAATCACACATCGGTAAGCTCCGGGATTGAAATTCGTGCGTCGACCATCGTGAGCAGTGTAGACGTCCGCACCGCAACCATTCAAGATTCCATGTACGAGACTTCATGAGTTGCTGTATGTATCACATGTTAAGCAGCACTCGTACAGTTCCCAGGCATCAACCATTCCACTACGCTGGCCACAACCTTCCACTCCTCTGCCAAAGACCTTGCACAGCCCTTCGCATGTGTTCCGACGACCTTACGGGTCTTCCAATCAGAACGGAGCTTGTCGGAAATAATACGGTTGGTTGCATAAGATGATGTCTCGGGAAGGGTGAAAATCTCCGATGGGCGGACAGCACACAAATTGTGGCTCCACGATGAGACAATTCCGTGCAAGGGAGATACGGTACGACTGCAAGGCTCCATCGTGAAACTGGTGTACTCAGACACTGAGCAAAGACAATCTCTCCAGCGTAAGAGGGGCCCTATCACAACGAAAATGCAATCGGCAAGGGACAGGAAACTCTCCACCTTGCGCGCTGACATCAGCTCCGTTGTCGAGCAGCATCGTCACCACTTTCTCATGACCTCCATATGACGCCGCCTGCAGTGCGTTGCCATACTCTCCACCTTGCGCGCCGGAATCCGCGCATTACAGAACAGGGCCACGGGGCTGAAGAAGTTGCATCTTATCTTTGGGAATGAGGTTAGTGAAGCTATGCTCACCCAGGAGGCGTGGCGATTGATATGCAAAATGGCTCGGCAGAAGAAATGGCAGGTGCACTTGGATGGTGAGGCGGGGTGTTTGCTCAAGGCGCGTCAGCAGCTAGAGGATGAGGGCCAAAAGACAACCTCTCCTGAATAGATGGCTAGAGTACATGAAGGGGGCAGTGACAGGAAGATGATACAGAGTAGTTCCACGCTCGATCTTGTCGTTAGTTTATAACCTGGCTGTAGGAAGCATGGGTAATTCCAGAGTGCGAACCCTAACCGGATTGTTGTGCTTTAAACCTCCGTCCTGAAAGGTACCTAAAGTGGATATCTGAAGCGGTTGAAAAAGCCTACGACACATCAGTGCGGGTGCACGTGTGTGTCATAGAAAGATGCTACATTAGCGCCGCCGAAGTTGCCCTTCCCCTAACAGCATGCGTTAGTCGCGAACTGAAGCTGGGCTGGATGAACATACGCTTCCCACACGTAAGGCTCGTCAGCAACCTTCACCGGAAGAAGATACCGGTAGCCTACACAGTGTCAGGGCCGAGCTACAGTGTCCTTCAAGTCAGCTTACCGCAATCGGCCTGCCGGACACTAACACCGTTGTAGTTGGACACAATCACCGGTGAAGCATCCGATATCGTGGTAGCTATCACAGCTGTTTTTGTTGCGATTTTCGCGGGCAGGTATTCGAACATGATCCCAGTATAGATTTCTTCGCGACTATCTTGCAATTGGAAGACGGCTTTGATACGGATCGGTGGGCTGGAGCCTGGAGGGTTTGGGACTTTTGGGCATTTGAGAGTAATGGCGCATGGCGTAGGCATGTAGCTGTCGAAGACCCAAGTCCACTGGATCGACCGACTGCGCCGGGTAGGACGTAAAGCTGGACTCTGCAATTTGGGAGGACAGCTCTATCCGTTCTTTCGGTTGTATCGGAAAAGGCTCCTGCGAGCGCTGTGGATACAGTGTCCCTAGGCAAAAGCCTGGTTGACCGAGTCATGCAGCCTGCCAACTCCTCCAAATAGTGGACGTCCTTGAAGAAGGTGAAGATGGAAGGGACGAGACTATCCAACATCTGTAATCTAGTCCATATTCCTGCCCGATCACCCCTCCGAGCAGTTGGCCGCACAATATCTTGGCATCTTCCGTCGACGTCCGTGGTGCTTTCAGGCCCTAACTTCCAGACACAATCGATCGGCATCCTTTTTGGCATTTTTGACATGGGAATAGTACTCCGCGCAAAGAGATACGACCTTCAAAGATGTCTCAACAAGAGCAACAACACTTGCTGCGGCACTGACGCCATCCATTGCCCATCCAGAAGCCTGACGGCTGTCTCATAGCAATAGCAGGGTAGATGTTTCTTGGATACTATGAGGATTGAGTGGTACCACACCGACGACTTCGATTAGCTTGCTGTGGTCGACTCGTCAGCTCTAACGAATGACCGGGTCTTTTATCATAAAATTCTGTATGTGGAGTGGTGGGAGCTTTACTGTTAACTCCGGGTGATCCTTCAGCCTTATTCAAACTATCTTTCCGCGCTAGGTGGACAGACCATTGGAGATGCCGGCGCAGCGATCTTAGCAACTTCAGCCTCAGTAGCACTCCCCCGTCTTGTCGTTTGTTTACTGATATTATAGCTTGCATTATCTACGAACCGATGAGGCGCTAATTACCCTCTCCACGGCCACCTCAAGCTACACGTCTCTCACATTCCGCATCTCTTGAGATCTACTCTCGAAAGTACCTGTACGAGTTAGAGCCCACGAGAACCAGCCATTCAAGTCCAGAGACACCGCGTCCGATCAGTATGGGTCAGCCACACTCCAGTCTTCGTACCGGTTGACGATCAGGGGAACAGCGCCGACCTATTATCCGGGCCAAGTCATTCATGGCGTGCTCGACCTAGAGCTTGTGAGCAGGGGAAATATATTGGCTCCCTTGGTATCAAAGAGCGTGTGTAACAGGCTAAAGATCAGGAGAAAGCAGGATAGATCTACTCTATCTCGCTATGTACATACAATGCTTATATATACTACCCGCATTACCTCAGTATAGCTACTCAAACACATAAAACCCAGCCATCTCAAAAAGCCTTACACCCTCAACATCAGTACTATTATCCAGCCTCGCAAACCTCCTATCACTCTCCTTATACGCCTCGATCTTTGCCATAATCGCCTTATACACCTCTGCCCCCACAATCACCCTCAACGGCGACTCCTTCATAACCGCCAACTGATATTTTGCCTTTACGCCCTTGACTGGAACCCCAGCTTAGCTCCCATTCCGCAACGCCATTGCTTCTTCGGCGCTCATGTTATCGTAGGCTGGGTGGCGCTGGGGGGGAGGTCCATTGGAGGCGCAGTAGATGTTGAACATTGGCACTCTGTGCGAATATATATGTTAGTAGGGTTTGTATTCCGGGGGATTTGTAAGGGAACCTTACCCTCTTTGGCCTCCGGTAGAGGTGACTTGTATCGCGTCCTTTTACACAACGGATTAATGGCACCAATTAAGGGTCTCGTTGTATCGGACAAGGTTCGCGAGATATAACGTTATCCTCTCGGTTCCAGATGCGCCTGGACTGACTGCTCTCATTCCGCGCCGAGATTATATTCAATTCCGAGGATCGGGGTCGAATATCACCTGGCTCCTGCTTCTAATAGCGGTCCTTCCGAAGTATGTTTCAAGCTATAGAGTCGCTTCTCCAGCTCAGGTAGTCCGTATTCTCGACACTGCTCTATTCCAACATCGAAATCCAAATACGTACCCTAACGCTTCCTATTTCCCCGCAAATCCTCGTAAGCCTCAGAACTCAACCTATTTCTGAAGTTCGCTAGTGCCGCTCTTAAACGGCCAATAAGTTTGGCGATGTGGGAGACGTTGATTCTAAAGTCTAACATTCGAACCATGATAGGGCTGGGAAAATCCTTGATTTCAATGAATTCTGAAAGCTCTGGCTCTTTTACTGGCTCTGAAAGCTCCGGTTTCTTTACTGGCTCCTGCGGGACACCTTTCAAGTTACGTAGTTTCTCCTCTAACTCAGCTAGACCGTACCTCCGACATAATTCTACCGCAATCCAGAGGTCCACACATATACTCTGGTGGTACTCGGCATCTAATACGATATTATTACCCCCCCTATACTCTTCCCTAATTCTGAGGATTTTGTCTTTCAGCTGATTGGTCGCTTGACAAGTGTGATTCACATTGAGTCTCAAATCGAGCCTTTGGACCGTGACCGGCTGAGGAAGCACGTCGATCGTGAAAAAGGTAGGAAATTTCTAACTAGCATGCGTCAATACGTTGATGTTCAAATGTAGGGCGGCGCCAAACCTCCGTGATATAGTCATAAACCTGTTCCGCGGTCTTGCTGCAGTCGTCACGCTGAACTTCCAACCCGTAGTCTATCAGCGACTTCAGCTCCTGCTCCAGTTTGAGATGCTTGCACAGGATTCGTCCATGTTGGAAGTTGACACCAGAGTGTCGCGACAAGCCTGCAAACTAAAACCTGGAGGATAAGAAGCCTGGCTGTGCACCCAGGCTGAATACCCCAGCTTTGCGGGTGACATGTATACACAGGACAAAAACGCCCGGTTACTGAGACACCAATGTCCGCACCCCAGCTACTCTGCATTTACCATCTCGTTATCGAATCGAGCCACCATGGTCTATCTCTGGAACCTCTTCGTCCAAGCCAACATCATACGAAAAGCATCCTAGAAACCAGTTGCAAACTTTTGACGACGGCGACGGCGTCGCGTGCCTCTCTCATTAGCCAATGTCAGAGTTTCCTCTTTCCGTGAATACCCGTGCTGCTGCGTAAACGCGAAGAGGTTGGCTGTGATACTGCCCTGGACTCGAGGTAAGTACTATCCCAATCCAGGCGACGTTTCTGCCGTGCGATATCCTTGCGTTTACGACGTTGTCGTGCTCTTACTGTGGAGAAATCTGGGGAGCTCGGAGTCACGTAAGGATTTTGCGATTGCGAATATGACTTCTTCTGTTCCCCGTCCGAAATTTTGTCTGTAACCTTGTGACGTCTTTGTTGTGTTGAGCCCTTGCACAGCTCCTTGATCGTTGACCGTCGTGTTCTTGATTCGTCGGATCTGGGGGTCGCGTAGCCATTGTATGGTCTCTGGTCAACAGAGCAGGCTTGGGACGGGGACGGTGGCGGTGGCTTTCTCTCTGCCACGTGTGCATTCTGCCGTCGGTATTTGTTCTTGCTTTGGCGGCGCTCGATAGAGCGTGCATCCTTTGTCTTCTTGGTACCCGCATCCGAATTTGGACTGCTCGCGGTGGACCCCAACAGTGGTCGGTCTGTCTCTTTCCCTCGCTGTGTGGTACTCCTAGTGACTCTGGCGCTGGGACGCTCTCTGGGCGCTGACGACTTCCGTGCTCTTGTCTTTGGTCTGGAGGCATTTAGAGCCTCAGGAGGCGATTCTCCGCATTCTAGAGACTCAAGAGGAGTCTCTCCGCCGTCTAGATGTGTACGTTTCCATCGCTCCCAAAACTCTTCCTGAAGCTTATCGTATTCAGCCTCATAATACTTCTTCTTGTTCCACCAATATCCAGGGTCCACCACACAGTCCCCGTGGTCTTCAGCATCTAACAAGGCCTTGCCGGCAGGGAAAGTGGCCAAGTCTCGGGCTCTCGAGTCTGCGGAGCGTTTGGCGCGTTCGAGTTTCGTCCTCTGCAACTCGACCTTGAGTTGGGCACTGTAAAGTTTCTCTTTGTTCCGCCAGTATGCAGGATCCGTGATCCTCAACCTCAGGTGGAGGTTTCTGAAAATTCTCTAGGCTCCACCAGTAGTCGCCGTCCTTGGTCAAATTCCCGTGATCTTCAGCCTCTAATAAAGCCTTGCCAGCAGGGAAATCGGCTAGCATTCGAGCTACATTTCCTGCTTCACACTTGGCGCGATCGAGTTCGGTATACCAAGGCACACCTGGGTAGGCCACTCCTGGTGTCACTGACCTACTGGCCCGATGATAATCATCCTCCTGGAGCTTCTCATGCTCCAATCTGTAATATTCTGCTCTGGCCCGCCAAAATGAATGGCCGGAGGCATGTTCCCCAGGGTCTTCAGCGTTCAATATGACTCTGCCGCCGTGGTAGTTCGCCAAGGGTCGCGCATATCGTTCAGCGCATTTGTTTGCAGATTCGAGGGCATGCTCCCTCTTGTACCGCTGGACGCTTTCCGATACTGTGTCACTCTCTCTTCTATCGATCCAGTCCCACCAACGCTCCTGTATAGCTTCTCCCCTGTCCCGAGGGTGGTGATTCCATTCTAAGCGGAGATCGACGGCGTACGGATCCACAAAGCTACACCGAAGTCCACCGTCAGCGAAAGAGTTCCCTGCCATGATGGATGACTTGAGGAGACGCGTGACAAAAGGTGATGGCACACGTTAACGCCCCACGTGATGCGGGGTATAATTAAGCGTAAGTCATCGAGCTTCCTCTTTGGGAAATATCCTGGGACTCCACAGCCTTATCTTACCACTAGCAAGTAATCATCTCGACTCTGAAGTCATCCCTTTTTCAGCGGTAATGCTGTGATGACGTTCTCACCGGCTTCTGAACTTCCAAAGACGGAAAGGGTGGAGAAGCTCCAGTGCGAATACCTGCATTGCTCGATTCTCGTTATCTACAAGGGAAAATATATACATAACCCCGTGCCGGTCTCTCAGTATGTTCGCGTTTCTGTCTCCTTAACCCTAAAATATCTTGCTCTGTCTGGAAGAATAGCAGGATGTCTCTACGCTTCTCTCTCACATCTTTGCTCTGCTGTTTGTTGTTGACTCTGGTGTACGGACAGACATGTCCCAATTCGACTTGTGAGGCGTCTCGTCTCCCCTTATATTGACACAACTCAAACTAAAATCTTCTTTCTCTTCAGCATTAGGAGGGTTCCCAGCATTGATAGAGGTCACCTTAGAAGAGCTCGAGACTGGGCTTGAGGCTGGTGAATTTACAAGCGTTGATCTCGTCAATGCATGCACCTAGTTTGAACATTGAAATTATGTCGCAACTGACAGCGTGCAGGCATACATTGCAAGGATCAATGAGGTCAACGGAACCCTCAATTGCGTCACCGAGGTTAACCCGGACGCTGTTAGCATTGCTGCAGGATTGGATGCAGAGCGAGCAAATGGCACTACCAGAGGACCCCTGCACGGGGTACCGATCATTATTAAAAACAACATTGCAACGAACGATAAGATGAACAACACCGCAGGCTCCTTTGCTTTATATGGAGCGAAAGTGCCAAGAGATTCGACACTAGCTTCCAAACTGAGAGCTGCAGGCGTCGTTATCCTAGGAAAAGCGAACTTGAGTCAATGGGCGAATTTCAGATCTGACAACAGCACGAACGGGTGGAGTGCTTATGGCGGTCAATGCTACGGAGTCTATTACCCAGGCCAAGATCCTAGTGGAAGTTCCAGCGGCAGCGCCGTCTCTTCAGCGATCGGTCTTGCATTCGCAGCTCTCGGATCAGAAACCGACGGCAGCATTCTGAGCCCCAGTGAGGTTAGCAATCTCGTAGGTATCAAGCCCACCGTAGGACTTACCTCCCGATCCCTGGTCATCCCCATCAGTCAACGCCAAGACACCGTAGGTCCAATAGCAAGGACCGTCAAAGATGCAGCTTATGTTCTTCAAGCCATTGCCGGCAAGGATCCGCACGACAACTACACGTTGGCTCAACCATGGGACACACCTCCTGATTACGTCGCCGCCTGCAACTTCTCCAGCCTACGCGGAAAGCGTATCGGTATTCCACGCAATGTGATTGACCCAACCGAAGAGCCAGATGACACGGTCATAGTCGCCTTTAACGCTGCTGTTGAGACCATCAAAAAAGCAGGCGCAACGATCGTCGACAACACCAATATTACGGTGTACGCACTCGCCCAGTACAACAACGGCTCGAACGAAAACATCGTCCTTGACGCCGACTTCGTCTCTGATCTCCCGGGCGAGTATCTCTCAATGCTAACCTACAACCCGCAAAACGTGCACGACCTCGCCGATGTAGAAAACTTCACCCACCACTTCGCACAAGAAGATTACCCTGACCGCGACACCGCAGTATGGGATCGTACGTACATTTCGGAGCTGATCCTTCCTATTTGGTAATGAAGTCGAGTCGCAAGACACGGTTCGGGAGCAAGAGAACCTTTCTACTCGAGAGACCTGTCTTGCAACTCCATTACACACTTCGGCCAAACAATGCTAACACGGAAATCTGCGTAGAATCGTTAGCACTCGGTTTCAACAACACCAGTCCCCTGTTCTGGGCCGCCTATCAGAACAATCTAGAAGTAGCTGGTCCCCAAGGTATCCTCGGCTTGCTGGCGAACTACAGCCTTGACGCGTTGATTCTGCCAACGGATTTCTCGCCCGGGCTGCCGGCCATGATTGGGACGCCGGTCGTAACGGTACCACTGGGGTTCTATCCTGCGAACGAGACCGTGGTGCGGAATATGAGAGGGACGTTGATTGAGACGGGGCCCAACATTCCGTGAGTGCTGTTCAGAAGCCACCCCATTAGGTCTCCACTAGTTGACGGCAGCAAAACAGATTCGGACTCAGCTTCATCGGCGCAGCATGGAGCGAAGCCAGCCTCATTGGGTATGCATATGCGTACGAACAAAGAACGCAGACCCGTAATAAAGTTCAGCCGTACATCGTGCCCTCGACGGAGCTGATTGATGTCGTGGGCAAGAGTAGCGGGAACTTTTCCATGCCCATGGGCAAAAGGAGCCTCAAGAGCCTAAGGAACTTTGAGAGCGTGAGAAGCTATGAGATGAAAAGGAGCATTGACAGTAAGAGGAATTTCCCGAGAAAGGTGTCGTCGAGGCATGTGAGGTAGAATGGTAGATCCAGACGTGCGAGTAGTTTTGGGTCATGCCTCCAGGACCAGGATGTGTAGAATTGGATGTATACAGATTCAAGTATAAAGTCAATGGTTGAAGAGATCTGATAGTACACCAAGGAATCACCGGTGAATGTTGGTATCTTGTGCAAGATAACACTGGTGACGCCTTCAGGAGTGAGTTCCTTGCCAACGCCAGCCCCATTCCATCACAGCCTCACCCTCCCCTGATTCAGTTCCTCCCACTCTCCCTTCCCGAACCTCTCATACCTCCCACTCTTCAACCAATACACCCTATCACCCCCAGTTTTATCCGGCGATATTCCCTCGCCTCTCAGCACGGCCTTTAACTGCTTATTGTTCCCCGTCGTTTGATGCCCGTTGACTAACCTCAAAAAAGGCGGCACCGCATACTTGGGCAAGCTGCGCCGGGCATGCTTGGCCACACTATCCAACAACTCCTCACTGACATCTTCAGCATCGAATAGAACCGCGGCACAGCCCGCTTTCCCGTCATGATTGGGTACTTCGACCCCGTAGACATTGGCCTCGTGGATATGCGGGTGTGTACCGAGTACGGAGCTAACTTCGGCCGTGGAGACATTCTCGGATTTCCAGCGGAATGTGTCGCCGATGCGGTCGCAGAACCACCATCTTCCTTCGCTATCCCACCGTACAACGTCTCCAGAACGACAATACGCGTCTCCTTTCACAAACACGTCACGGAAGATCTTACTCTCTGTTGCGGACGGATTGTTGAAGTACCCTTGGAACTTGGAATGAATGTCTGCGGGGTCAACTTTGAACACCAATTCCCCCGATGCACCCGTCTTGACTTGTCGACAGAAGTCGTGGTTCAGGGAATCACGGAGAGGAAGCTCTGTCGTCCAATCTACCTCCACGATGGCGAGTTGGTGTTTAACTATCGCCGACGACAAAGAGCCATTCCGACCAATGGCCCCACTAGAGAACTTGTTCGAGCTGAGATTCCACGTCGCGCTTACACCTTCTGTAGATCCGTAGAACTCGCCAATGGTATCGATGCCGAAGCGCTCCTTAAACCTATCCCATACGTCTGGCCTGAGACCATTTCCGAACGCTTTGGTGACGTTATTCTTGCGGTCGAGGTTCTCGCCTGTGACGGGATCATGTTGCGGCTTGGCGGCGAGGAGATAGCGACATGTCTCGCCTACATATTGAATAGCAGTAGCATCGTGCTCGCGAACCTCGTTCCAGAAGGTCGCGGTAGAGAAGCGATGGCCAAGGATCAGTGTGCTGCCGGCGACCAATGAGGTGCAGAGTCCGAGGAGGGCGGCTGAGGAGTGGTAGAGCGGCATGCAGGTATAATATCGATCGCTTTTCGTTAAGCTGAACCAAGAAGGCATGAAGCCCGTCAACAGTCCGATTTTTTGCCAGCTAACGGTTGCCGGTTTTGGTAGACCCGTGGTGCCGCTGGTGAAGATGAGCATAGCCATGTCAAGACGCACGGCGCTTCTCGATGAGTCTGGCTCTCGAACCGCCTCCGTACCCATGATCTGCTCTTCCAGTGTCGTATCAAAGAAGACTGTCTGTATAGGCCCTTTTCCATCCCGCGCCTTCACTGATTCAAGCGTGTCAGTGATCTCTTTCGTGAACCGTGGCTTGATCTTCTGATCCACAAACATTACCCGTGCTGCGGATGTCTTGACAGAATGTAGCAAAGGATCTCCAATTAAATTGTAGTTGATGAACGCAGGTGTAGCCCCTAGACTCCAGAGTCCCAGCCATAGAAAGATGAAGACGGGCGAGTTCATGAAGTCCATTGCAACCACCTCCCTTGGCACTATCCCGTGTATGGTTTTCAGCCATGTTCCATATTTGAGCACGATGTCATAAGCTTCTTTATACGTCCACGTCTTTCCCTGATACATAAGGAACGCGTGATCCGCTGTGCTCTTGATCGTCGCATGTTGCTCGAGACTGTAGAAAAGGCTCATACGATCGCGTTTCTCTCCTAGGGCGATCTGGACGTTCGCATTCACGAGCGCTCTGATCAGTCTCAAGTCGTAGGAGAATTGGGTCTTCGCGTTGAGCCAAGCTGCACCCGCCAGCACTGCTGGCCCCGCAATAGCGAGGGGTACTGCTATCATTTAGTAAGCTTTGTGGGTCTGAAGATGTTGCGACATACTCGCCATTGTGCAGGTTGGCAGCGTGTATGTACTACGCGTAACAGGGACGAGGCCAGCTCATTAATCAAGGAGACGTAGATGCTTACGGGCGAAGAAGAGCTCCCACGCCAAGCATCTAGGCGAGCTTCCTCAGGGTCCATATCTTAGTCTGCTCGGGCGTCGTCGGTGTTCTGATGTTGACGACGGCCCTCAGTCAGGGTGCGATAAGCAAAATATGCGTGATAGCTATCTACCTATAGGCTCTCCAATAGCTACGACTGCAAAGATTGAGTCGTCAATACTAAAGTGGACTGTCCAAACCCTAGTACGAGTAAGAAGACTTAGAAGCTCTCTGCGGTCCAGTCAATATTAAACAAGCAGAGAGCGGCGTCTTGCTAATCGCCCTCCTTTACTGGCATTTGTCTCTGCAGCTGCGCTGCTTCCAGCAAAAACTCTATACTCCACCCGTCCGACTAAAATATCTCCCATTGCTCATCCATACTGACATCTTGCTAAACGCATTACCGCCCATTTGCGGATCTAGCTCCAAGCATGTCGACTGGTAGGTCTAGCCGACCAAGTATGCTGCACGGATGTCCTCACGATAACCAGTCAACCGACACCGTCGGCGTTGTCTCTTTCTGGAAAGATATCCAGCTTCTCCATCCCTGCATTTCCTTCATTTTCAATTCGTTGACGCCTCTGCCTCGGCTCATGACAATTCTGTTTCCGTGCGGCGCATTTCATAAGTCGAAGATCAATTGATTTCAATTCCGCCAATGCTTGAGCTTTGCTTGCCTCTGAAAACGGCCGAAAGACCTCCTTGTCGTCACGCTGAACTTATCGGCAATAGCCATTCGCCTCCCTTCCCCACTTTCTTGGTGAATACCCTCGACTTTGTGATGATTTGACGCTCTGGTGAGATTAACGTTCACGCGACCACGATTTGCAGATCTCTTGGCGCCACTCAGACCCCGCATACCCCTAAAAGTTATAGTGTGGGGGAGCCTCGAGTTCCACGCGCTTGCGATGCCAGCCATCCTATTGCCTCTTCAATTGTGACGCAGTTTAAACATTTCATCCAACCCTGAATGGGCTCAAAGCCGGCTCCAAGCCTAGGCCACTTTGCTCCTATTCGGCGGCTCATTCTCTCCTTCCATTGCTGGAGACCTCGCCTGTCACGTCGCCCGTGATTTTTTGCAGCTTCACAGTTTATGCATACTGTGAAGCTTTTGATGTCTCCGCCCTTCGGCCGAATGATTTTGATTGATCTCGCCATGGCAAAAGCGGGGCCAGGCACGGGCTGCCAGAAGCGCGCCCCTGGATTCTCATCTTATAAGAGGAGTCCGGCATGGTCAAGGTTTCCAACCCTCAGATATCCCTTCGTCAACATCTTCTCAAGACCCAGCATCTGCAATCGCCGCAGGCAAGCTCTTCCAACATGAAGCGCCTCTTCTTTTGTTTGGCCATACTGGCATCAAGCGTCCGCGCCATCGCGATCAACATGGCCCATGCCCGACGCTTCGAGGAGACGGGCACCGCCAGCACAACCATTACTAAACGTCAGGATGACTGGGACGTTGAGCGCAACGAGCTGACTAGTGTCGCCGGCGTTGGTTGCAAACCTATCACCGTCATTTTTGCGAGAGGTACGATCGAGCTTGGCAACGTTGGCGAATTGGTTGGCCCGCCCTTCTTCAACGATCTCGACGACTTAATCGGAGCAGACAACATCGCCGTGCAAGGAGTAGATTATGCTGCTACCATTGCGGGTTATCTGATTGGCGGTGATCCTGGAGGAGCGCAAACAACTGCAGATCTGCTGAACCAAGCAGCGAGCAACTGTCCGGATACGCAAATCGTATTGAGCGGGTATAGCCAAGGGGCAATGGAGGTTCATTTAGGAGAAGCTATGGTGAGCGAGGAGGTAGCGGCGCAAATTGCGGCTGTGGTAAGTCGAACTTTGGATAATGACTAGGGATCCGATATTGACCTGCAGCAATAGGTGGTGTTTGGAGATCCATTCAAAGGACGTCCCTTCCCGAACGTGGATTCAAGCAAAGTCATGACTTACTGCTTCAACGATGATTTCATCTGCGACGATCTTCCTGTTGTCGACACTTATCACCTTGAGTACGTTGTCGATACTCCTGCAGCGGCGACGTTTGTACAAGGTCTTGTCAGCTATTGAAGCCTAAAGCATTTCTGGGCGGGTTCAGCACAAGATGTCGCAAATAACCAATCTTCCTGTACATATTTTGCCTCGACGTATTCTCTTTTGACCTTTGGGTCACGAGATGGATGCGCCCCTTGCTGTGCGAAGCATGCGAGAATGATTGTACATAGTCGCGTTTCGTCCATGAAATGCAGTCCGACTATCCTCAATCTAGAGCAGTACCGTATGGCTTCTTGAATTGGCCTTGCATCCAACATCGGTACATCTTCAGTTGCTTCTGGCGATTGACAAGCATCCTTCTGTCCACACCCAAACTCACAATCTCAAATGTGCTCTTTGGGGTTGGTGAAGGGGTATGTTCGGTTCCAAACACTCCGAGCGCCCTATCCGGAATCACTTCGTCACCAGTACAGACCTCATCTGTATCCTTTGGCTGCTCGTCTCTTGCCGTACCGCTGCTGACTGATCGATCTTCGCCGTTGGCTCCTATCTCTCGGTTTACGGTTCCCGTGCCTCCCCATATCCTCTTCAATTCAACTTCTTCGAAGAAATACACCCTCGTCCCGTCTCCCCTGATATAGAAATTATCCTCCAACAACCTCCCCTTCTTGAACCTCACCTGAGTGAGATCTCCCTTCCCGTAGTCTCTAAAGCAAACCTCTCCACCAGGCTTCAGTACCCTCCATACATTACTCACGGCTGCATCCCACTGTTTCGGACTCAGCGCACTGAAGATAAAAACCAGCAACACCACGTCCACACTACCTTCCCGGACTCCAGGTGGGAGGTCCTCACTCGAAATATCCCATACAGAAGCTTGCATGTGCTCAGGGTCGTAAGCTGCATTAGCTCTAATCAACTCAACGGCCTTCTTCGAGAAATCGCAAGCATGAATCATGAGTTCCTCATTGTCGTTCGCTTTTAGAATCGGAAACGCCGTATTCCCCGCCCCAGCTCCCACCTCCAGGATGGTGCTCGGTCCTGCATCTTTTGCAGTCAGCTTTGAAAGGATAGGAAACTCCTGATGGAGCCATTTCCGATCCTTGAAGAAATTAGATGTGTTGTTTGAATAAAATTGGTTCCACCATTTCGCGGGATTGTCATTGAAGCGGGCTTTGTCGAAGTCCGAGACCGGAGAGGCACGTTGGAAAGTGTACTGGGCTTCGCAGTGGGTATGGTAGGCAGAGTCAGGAACTACGTGGTCCCAGGCGTTGAACTCGAAGACGTCGTCTGTAGGTTCGAGGTAGCGGGAGCCGAATTTGAAAGGGTCGCTGCGTTTGAGATTGTTGGTCAGATTGTGAGAGCGGTGCGAAGGAAGCTCGGTGGGAGTTTGTAAGGGTATGCTTTGAACTGATGATTCCATCGTAGGGTTTATTGAAAGCGAGGAGATATCCGGAGGAGGATCCTGACTGGAGGCTGCCATTGTCTGATTCTACGTCGCAGACTTTTTTGCTTCTACCGCGCTGTGTGTAAAATGATCTCGGTATCCTTTGCTTTACGAGAGCATCAGAGCAAGAGGAAAAGGACAAGACTTTAGGGAAACCTAATCAGATGTTACAAACTGTGCACTGAATTAGGCAGCCTCGATATGTCCCGAGAAGCTGATGCACGAAGTCATAGGCTAAAACTGATGGATGCACTTGTTTCTTGCCGGGGTGTACTTAAGATCTCCTCTTTTAGAGAGGCGATAGAGAGGCGAGTGAGCGCTGTATCTTGCGAGAGCGAACTTCGAAATTTTTAATACTGTGCAGGCATGAGCCCTACAACATACTTTACAAGGCGAGAAATCTGCTGCGCGGCGGACCGGCCCAAAGGCAGCCGCGCCTAATATTCTTGCGAAACGGCGGCAATCGGCACTATGTCCGATGTCGTACGATCTACGTTATGTTGTACCTCCCCCTCCACCAACGCTTGGAGGAGAGCTGGGAACCAAGGACAGCTTGTCGAGCCTTCGCTATGATGGAAGCACTGAGCCATAACACCCGTTGTAGGGATTATGCGCGGCCGGATTCAGAATCACATTCTCTACACGCAGTGACATAAAATGCAGCAAACCATGGCAGCAGTCGAGCCAAACACTCTCGAGCCAAACACTCTCCTCGATTCTTACAGGTATGGTTTTTCAGCATTGAACCCACAATCCGTCGCCTCCAAGTCCTTCAAAACATATCTCTTCGGCTACCCAATCGCCCACTCCTTAGCCCCCTTGGTTCAATCCACCCTCTTTAAAGAGCTCTCTGTGCCATGGACCTACACGCTCTTCGAGTCTCTTTCAGCCGCCGACTTCTTGTCTAAGCTTAAAGCCGCTGACTGCATCGGATCCGCCATCACCATGCCCCACAAAGTCACCTTCGTCCAACATGTTGACGACCTAACCCACGAAGCCCGCGCGATAGGCGCCATCAATACCGTCTTCCTGCGTCGTGGCGCGGACGGCTCAACTCGCTATATTGGAACCAACACAGATTGCATCGGCGTACGAGAAGCCTTCCTGCAGAACATTCCAGGCATACGCGCACAGAGCGAAGGCCGACCTGCTTTGATCGTTGGCGGAGGTGGTGCATGCCGCGCCGCGGTCTACTCATTATGGAGGTGGATGGGCTCGAGCCGTATTTATCTGGTCAATCGTTTAGAATCCGAGGTCCATGCGATCATCGCTCACTTCGGGACGGTTCCTGGATTTGCGGGAGATTTGGTGCATGTGCCAACGATAGAAGCGGCCGCGGAGCTTGAAACGCCAATGTTGGTTGTAGGATGTGTGCCGGATCTTCCGCCTAAGGAGAGGGGCGAGACTTTGGCGAGGGATGTTGCGTTGACGTTTCTGCGGAGACCAGAGAAGGGTCATGTGCTGGAGATGGCCTATCACCCAAACCCGATCACCGCATTCTACTTACTTGCACGGCAAAATGGGTGGAATGTGCTGCCGGGGACCGAGGCAATGATCTATCAAGGGATTGCCCAGCAATCACTGTGGATGGAGAAGCCAAGTGATGAATTCCCTGTGCCGGAGGCGAGAGAGGTTATCAAGCAGGCATTGAAAGTGACGCATGAGAATACCGACGGGCTGTAATATATGTCGTGCAGATGAAAGTAAGGGCTAGGAAGAGGGATAATGGCAACCAATTCCATCATCCGTTTTGTCTCTGTGTTCTACACACCAAGAAACCTGAACACAGTTATTAGCAGCACCGGCGTTCTCCTTCCCTTGTCATGTCTTCGAGTCCTCATTAAGCATATTCTTCTGCAATTAACATACATTGTGTAGATCCAAGCATACATTCTCGATAAGTAATTCCAACTCGATTCACGTCACTTGAACTCGATTAATATATCCAAGGGTAGAACACAGACAAAAAGAGAACGCCATCGGCAACCCTACCTACTTGGCCACGCCGTCGCAACGCTTTGGTTTTCCAAGGGCTACTGCACCCCACCCCATCGTTGTCCCACGACTCTCTTTCTCCACGAGCGTGCTCTTGGGGCACGGACGGTAGCGGATCGCTCATCGTCCGCGAAGACAACTCGGCCAATTCGCGCCCTACGGTGTTGAAGGTGTCGAGGCACCTGCCAAAAGTTTGGTCTGTCAACCTGGGCGACAATGTCCCAGGCCTGCTCACAGGTGTCGCCGTAGGTGCTGAAGCACAAATTGTTCGTACGCAAAGCGGACCACGGGCTCCTCGTGGAAACCCAAGTCGGCCTCTTGCAGATCCTGCACGATGATATCACCTGCAGGGAGGAAATTGGCGGGGATCTCGAGGACGTCAGAGGTGGGGCTTTTTTGACGGCCAGGACACGTTGGCTGCCATCCAGCACACCTTCGTGATTGCGGCGTCCCCCTGTTTCGACACATAACCGGCCCAGATCGTACCATTTGGTGACTATGAAAGGTTTATTCTACTCGCAAGATGCCTCGGCCAATCAAGCGCCTCGCCAAGTGTACAACTGGCGTATATACGCCCTCGCCTGTTCCTCGTCGATGGGAGCCGCCATGTTTGGATACGATTCAGCCTTCATCGGCGGCGCATTGACGCTACCCTCCTTCCAAAAGCGCTTTGGCCTGGAATCTGCCCATGGGACCAAACTTGCCAACCTGAAAGCCAACATTGTCAGCACTTTCCAGGCTGGAGCCTTCTTCGGCGCCATCTTGGTGTATCCCGTAACGGAGAAATTTGGCCGACGACTAACGCTGCTCTTGTGCGGACTTTTGTTCAATTTGGGGGCCATTGCGCAGCTAGCCTCTAGCGGTCACGTCGGTGCGATCTATGCCGGACGCGTCCTTACAGGTATGCCGTCAACAATTTTGGACTTACAACATACTCACCTTGAACTTGGAGGACTTACGTATGATTGATAGGACTCGCTGTCGGTGCATCCTCCTTGATCATCCCGGTTTACATCTCCGAGTCCTCACCTCCTGCTATCAGAGGCCGCCTAGTCGGCCTCTTCGAGTGCTTCCTCCAAGTTTCTCAAGTCATTGGTAAGAGCCTCCTAGAGATTATCGAACTTCTGGATCTGATCTAAACCTCGTCTAGGTTTCTGGATGAACTACGGAGTCAGCCTTCACGTTCCGAAGACCCTCGACAAGCAATGGCAGATCCCGTTCAGCTTCCAAGTCGTCCCCGCTAGCCTTCTTGTCATCCTGATGTTTTTCCAACCCGAGTCCCCTCGCTGGCTCGTCAAAGCAGGCAAAGCGGATCAAGCTCGACGAAACCTATCGAGACTGAGACAACTCCCGTTGGACCATGAATATATTTCCTGGGAAATTAATACCGCACAGCGTCAGATCGAGGCCGAGAACAGCTTGGGAGCCAATCGATCCGTTTGGGCCAAGGTCCAGCAGGCCTTCACCCTCCCGGGGAACCGACAACGTCTGCTTATCGGCATGGCCTTGATGCTGCTCCAGAACATGTCCGGCATCAATGCACTGAACTACTACTCGCCGGCTATCTTCGCGGCCATCGGTTTCAGCGGAACCGACGTCTCGCTGCTCGCCACAGGCGTCTTCGGCCTCGTCAAAGCAACCACGACCCTGATCCTCATGCTTTTTCTCATCGACCGCCTGGGACGACGCCGAGCGATGCTGATTGGGTCGTGTGGAGGCATCGTCGCCATGTACTATCTGGGCGGCTACACCGCCCAGTCACATTCGTTTACATCCGAGCATGTGCCGAAGGATGGCGGTGCTTACATTGCGATCCTCATGGTCTATCTCTTTGCCTTCTTTTACGCGCTGTCGTGGAACGGCGTGCCTTGGGTCTTCTGGTGAGCAACAAATGCACATTCTCGCACGATCGATCCTTCGCGGGGCGACCCGGCCACAGCGCTCCCTGCCCCCAAAGCTTCCCCCTGCTGACTGCCTTCGTACAATACATAGCTCCGAAGTCTTCCCCACCGCCATCCGCTCCGTCTGCCTAGTCTTCACCACATGCTCCCAGTGGCTCGCCCAGTTCATCATCGTCTACTCGACCCCTTACATGATGACCAACATCACCTACGGCACCTTTCTGCTCTTCGGCACCTCCCTCGTCGTCGGCATCGTCTTCATCTACCTCTTCTTCCCGGAAACCAAGGGCCTGTTGCTGGAGGAAATGGACATTCTTTTCAGTCAAAGGGGCCCCGCTACCGCCAAGAGACGAGAGACCGATCGCATCATCCAGGACAGACGCAACGATGGACATGCGCAGGCCGTGGTCGCGGAAAAGCGGGATGAGAAAACTGATCCAATGATTCATGTTGAAGCGGTGTGATGTCTCGACGATGATACTACTATTATATATTTTTCTTTCATGCTGCCTTGTTACGAAAACAGTGGGCACAGTTGCTGAAATTCTCACGCCCTAATTCTTCCGTGACGACCTTCACAGACGATACAAAAGAATGCCAGCGCAAGCCCGATGAGTGGAGCGGAGTCGGGTGGTATAGAAGCAGAGACCATCGAGACATTAAGAAAACGAAAGCGAGTCGTTATGTGTAGTTTCAAAGCGCATTAAAGTGATACAAATCGACCTTGAGAGGATTAGCTAAGACTTGTTGATAGTCCTATCCTGCTCTTTGCCATCCTTCATATATCTATATCAACGCAGCATTTTTGGCTGAGATAACCATCCCAGGCACGGCCGGGAATACAATATAATTGATCAAAGATCGTAAGCCATCGACGCCGCGCTTGTAAGCATTCCTATGTAAAGGACGCCATCGACATCCCATTAGTGTATTATTGCCCTGCCCAGCGTCAACCCGGCTGTTGCCGGTTTCTGTACTTGGCGAGATCCACAAGACATTCAGGTATTGTGGCGGAGGCATCGGTACACCTGACAGGCGATTAACTCTATTAAGAAAGCCGGGTATCCACACCTATCCCCAGCGAACTGGGAAGAGGATGGACAAGGGCAGAGACAGAGGCAGCGACGCAGTGACATGGCTACAGCGATAGCGAAGTCGCAGTAAAGTCCTCACCGGGCGGTCGAGCCACCCCAACCCATATTAGGATACCGTCAACTGCTTCTTTGGATGCGCCCTGTGAATTGACGGATCTCTTGACAGGGAATATGCTCAAATCTTTGTCATCTTAACCCCAGCAAGATTAATCCTCGTTACGATGAAAAGGACCGTGGCGATGGCACAGCTCACACCCCCAAAGACTTTAGCGTATCGGAATGAGCCATCATGGGTATCACCGATGATCTGACCTCCAATTGGTGAGCCGGTCAATGCTGCAAAAGCTGCAATCGTGAAGATGGTGCCCGTACGAATGCCGATTTCTTGAATGGGTGAAACTTGTGCGCAGAGTGCCGGAGTGAGGCCAATACCAGCACCTGAAGCAATACCGAACAATGCGGCGAAGACGATAATGGCGGCGTTACCGGTTGCTGGCAGCCATAGTGCAAGAATGAGGATGGTCGTGAAACTGCTCATAACGACCATGACATTGAAACGACCAACCTTATCGGCAATAGCATTAGGAACAGTGCGTCCAATTATACTGGGCAAGACAAGTTAGTAGCGCGTGCTAACTTGATGCGGGAAAGCACTAACCTCGCGGCATTCAAAATCGGAACGAGGTAGTTGGCAAGACGCAGAGACATGCCGTGCGATTGCGCCTCCACGACGATAAAAGTGAAGGGTACGAACATGCCCCCTAGGAAGATTAGCTGCTGTGAGGAAGATCAGGCAACAAATGACTCACAGTAGAAGAAGAAGACTGCCGCCGTCAAAAGCGAGAAACTCGGCACCTTCAGAGGACGGATGAAAGCCATTAAGCTGAATGGGCGCTTCATTGGCGGAATCCTCGAGCGCACGGTCAGATTTGCGAAAGTGAGCAGCGCCAATATCAGGAAAGCACAGATACGCAACGTCCAGCCAAAGCCAACTTCTGGAATCAGATGGATAATCATAATGGGGAAAATGACGCCGCCTAGCGAAGATCCAGCTACGACTAGGCCAAGAGCAGCGCCTCGCTTCTCAAAGAACCACGTTGATGCCTAGAAACATTTGAGCGAATGGCCAATCGAGCTAATCACAGTGGGAACTTACACAAGTAAACGCGGGATAGAAGACCATGGATGCTCCGATAGGAGAGCAGATGGCTTGGCTGAGGAGGAGTTGATAGTATTTTGATGAAATGCTCGTCATCATCAAGCCAAAGACGTGCAAAAAGGTGCCGACCAGTAGAAGGTAGCGGGGCCCGTATTGGTCGTAGATTCTGCCAACGAATGAACCACCAAAGAGCATGAAGAAAACTAGCAATGTCAGAAAGATTGGATGATATGACGAGAGTGACCTACTTTGTAGGGCGGGGATCCAGGAGACGTCAGATGTAGTGTACTCTTTGAGCTGATGCGTCTGATAGTATTGCTGGAAGACCCCGACACAATTGATCCAGCCAAAGGAGACGAAGAGACAGGCAGAAGCGCCAGCGACGGTGAGCCATGCTTTTGCACCCCCTTCCGGAAAAGATTTGGGATCTGTCAAGGGATTCGGTGGTGGCTTGCCGGCCTTTTCTGCATCTTCAAGCTCGGCGTCAGAAAGTTCCTTCGACTGCTGGTCACTGTTTTTCTCCAAGCCTTCTACAGAGACTTGGGAATCATGACCAGTGTGAGCAAGTTGAGGGTTGGTTTCGGCCATTATGGTAAGGGAAAAGCTGCATGCAGTATTCGGAGGATTCTTAAGAAGATGCTCGAGAACGTGCTGGGGGTATTATAGGTTTACAGAGATTAAAGAGAATTCGGGTTCCAGACTCGGCCGGACGGAGTCTTCGGTCGGGGTTAGGAGTTTTAAGGTTAATCCTGTACATTAATAATGCAGGGTCCCTCGGTGTTTTCGGTGTAATCTAGAAGCGAGCTTCCATCCGAGCTTCTCAGTACTTAAGAGACTGAGTGCAGTATTACAGAGTACAGTGGTTAATAAGGTAAGGTAAGGTAATGCAGTAAGCGCATCCCACAAGACAGTGAATCAGCAAAGTCACACAATTTACATTAAAGTCGGGCTGTCAGCGCTCAGAAATATGGTGGTAATACAGATCATGCCCAATTCTCCATATAGTCCATACAGTGTGCAGATTGCTATGTACCGTGTGATCATGTGCAGGAAATCAGGGTGCAAACCAGGCCATTTTGGAGTTAGTGTGGGGGGCATGTCTCTAAGGAGTCCGAGTACAAAGTAAATTCAAGCACAGAAATCCAGGGATTATTCAACATTATTGATGAGATGTCAAGCCGGAAGTCCTGCATATGCAACTAGCATAGCAAGGGTGCATCAACTGAAACTTCTGCAAGATGTCATATTGACAGATGTCGCCTCGCATGAAGGGTTTGGCGTGCCTAGACAATGTGCAGGATTTGCGTTTGAATGAAGCCCTATTTATAGGGCTTATTAGTACTAAGGTAAAGCAAGGTACTTTAGAGATCCTCCAGATCCATAGAATAATTCTGGGAGCTACCTTACGGTTAGGGCCACTACTAGCGCGATGCAAGACGTTAAGTGCCGACCTTGAAATAAAATACTTTGAAGCCATTCCGTGCCGAACTCGTCTCAGACATCGAGGAGTCTGGAGGAGATTGGTCCTATAGCGAGCGCCTCTACCTATGCCAATCCGTTTGTGCGTATCGTCGGCGACGCAGGTTGCTTCATTGACCCATTCTTCTCTTCCGGGGTTCATCCAGCGCTGGCGAGTGGTCTCTCAGCTGCCGTGACAATCTGTGCGGCTAAGAAAGGTGATCTCAATGAACGGGCCGCTGCGGAATGGTATTCGAAGAAAGTCGCCGAACAATAAACTCGGTTCCTGCTTGTTGTTTTGGGCGCCCTCAAGCAAATAAAGGCACAGGACGAGCCTGTTTTGAGTGACATGGATGAGATGGGATTTAAACAGAGCCTTCGCGTTTTTCAGACCAAGTATGCCCTCTTCACAGAAGATTCGACGTGATTGTGTTACCGATTGATTTCTAGCTGTCCAAGGAACAGCAGATGCGAGGACCAAATTTACCCAGGACGAGCTCTCCAAGACGGTCGACTTCTGTTTCCAAGCATTCCCACATGCACCTGCTGAAAAGCGTGACGCTGTCCTCGAAAAAATGAAGGGTATCACCAGCGACGGCCGTGGCTCAGCCGACGAGGAAACAAAAGCAGCCGAGAAAGTGCTCGAATCAGCCCTTTCTGCGGACGAGATACGCATCTAAGATACCGCCGGGCTAGGCAGATGCTACTCTAAGATCAGAGGACGCGATGAATATGGATAACTTCTGTGCCGATACTTTTGATGGGCTGGCGATTTACTTGAAGAGGGGGACTTGGGTCTCGTTAAGCCTACGGGAGCTGCTAAACGTTCTGGTGTTGATGTGAGAGTCTTGATGATGGGGGAGGAGAAGATGGCAGGAGAGGAGAAGGTGGTAAAGGCCGAATGCCAATCTCCACGTACTAGAGGAGCGTCTTGATGGAAAGGGAGACACATGTAAGAGAACAGCTTGAACTAGAACAAAGATAAAGCATTTACTTGAGATTAAACAAAGTTTTAACAAACAAATTCCGCAAACCGTTATTTCTTTTTTGGCGGAGGGAGGATTCCCTTGTACACAGCCCTACAAGGCGAGATTTTGTAAACCCTTGGCAATAATTGAATTTCCTCAATCGAAACGTCATGATGGGTATGTGGGGAGTTCACTAGTCTCAGTAGTCTCACGCAGTAGGTCTAAGTAGGAAACCCTGCCAAGACTTAATTTTTTGGTATATCGCCCGATATGTAATATTCATACTCTACATATATATAATTCTTAATAAAAATGCGTAACTACGTAATATAGCCTTTTTTAAAATTCTTAAAAAAAGTTAAATAAATAATTAAATAGATTCTCGTTAAATTAGAAGCTATAATATAGTAATTAAAAAGTAAGCTTTTAATTTTATTTTATTAAAAAACTTAGCTAACTCAGCTATAGTAGTAGTACTAATACTTAAGAACGTTATATATCTTAATAAACGCGTAGTATTATATAGAAATTCTCTTATAGTTTAATTCTCGAGATAATTACTATAATACTTATCGAATTAATAATACGGCGTATTAGAGAAAATACGTGACTTTACTAATTAGTTTATTACTTTAATTAAATATCGTAGTCTCCTTCTATTTTTTATAATCTCCCCTTCATTTTTTACAATCTCTTTCTTATTTTTTAGACGGCTAGACTTACGAGAGTCGCCGCGGTAATAAATTATCGCGGCGATAGATGTAAATAAGTAAGTAAGTAAGTAAGTAAGTAAGTAGAGTATCGCCGCGATAACTTATTATCGCGGTAATCTTATAAATAAATAAGTAAATAAGTAAGTAAGTAAGTAAATAAGTAAGTAAGTAAATAAGTAAGTAAGTAAGTAAATAAGTAAGTAAGTAAGTAAGTAAGTAAGTAAGTAAGCAAGTAAGTAGAGTATCGCTATAACGATATATATAAATAAATAAGTAATTAAACTTGCGAAGAGTAGAGCGGAGAGCGAAGCGGAGATAATTTATTCTTTTAATATAAAGTTAGATATTAATAGCGGCGATATTAATAAATAAAAATATCTTATATAACGTTAAAGTCTCTTATAAATATATAAAATATAGAAAAAGATATCTTTAAATATAGAAAGATCTACGTTATTATTATAAACGACTTAATTAAATATTACTTAATTATCTTTACGCTATAATTCTAAAAAAATATTAAAAAATATTAAACTTTAGATCTATTAGTAATTAATATATTTCTTATTAAAGAAAATTAAAAGTTAAATAATATTTTTCTTTACTTTAAGAATTTTTAATAGAATCTTCTTATATAAAGTTATATAAAAAAAATTAAGATAATAATAAAGCTTTATAATTATACTCTTTATATATAGCGTATTAGATAACTAAACTATATTAGAAATACGTTATTAAATAATTTATTAATAGATCTTTACGCGCGAGATTTATTTAGAAGAATAATATAATAAGATAGAGTATAATAAATCTATTATATATAATAACTCTAATTTAAATAATATTAAATAAGAAGAGAAAGAAGATTATAATTAATTAGAAGACTAATAAGATAAAAAGATAAATTAATAAAGAATAATTAGTTTAAATATAAAAGAGATCTTATTAAGAAGAGATCTTATCGAGATCTTAGCGAGATCTTAACGAGATCTTAATAAGAATCTTTAAACTTTATTAAGTAAATCTTATCTTTAATTATTTTCTATATTATTAATTAATATCTAATCTATCTATTATCGCTATAAAGTCTATCTTATCTATCTATAAATATATGCTAGAACTTTCTATTTTTTTTACACCGATATAGTACTTAGACGATAAGCGAGAAAGTAATATTTCGTTAAAAATAACTATTATAATTAAAAAGAGAAAGTTAAAAAAGATAAGAATTAGAAAGATTAAGAAGATTATAAATATACTATTAAAGAAAGAGTTAAATATTTATAACTTATTAAAAGATATATAAAAATATAAATAAAGGATTTTTATAGCTAGTTATTCTCTATAGCGTAATTTTCTTATAAAACTTTATATTAAAGATAATTCTTTACTCGATACTCTATTAAAGAATAATTTAATTAATAAATCTATTAAGCGTATTTAGTCGAGTTATTAAAAGATTATATTAAAAAAAATAGAATAGATTCTAAATCTACTACGTAGTAAGATTCTTATAATTAATAATTTAAATCTTTTTAAATAATAGATAATAAATAATTTAAATAAACTTTATAATATAAATTTTAATTAATTATATAATGCGATTAAGGATAGAGTATTATATTTTATTAATCTCTTATCGATTATTATTTAGTCTTAATATATAAAAAAAAAAAAGAACTTCGAATGATCTTAATTCGAATCTATTACTATACTATTTAATATTATATACTTTTAATAGCAAAAAACCAAAGCTAGCTTAATCTCTATCTAATTAAATATTCTTATATATTTATATAAAGTTAAATAATTAATTCTAAAGCTTTATAATAAATTTAAGTTAATTATATTCTATTAAAGAATCTTATAATATATCTAAAAATCTAGCGCTAAAGATATTAATCGAATTCAATCTATAGATTATTCTAATAATTATTATATATAATATCATAATTTAAAGTAAATATAGAGAGTTAAGAAATAGAGAATAAATAGTAATAGAAAGTTAAAGTTAATAGTTATCGATTATATTATTAAAGAAAGCGATATATCTTTTAATAAATTAAAGGCCTCTATAATAGATTATTTAAAATCTCTAAGTTTATATTATATATTAAATATATCTAAATTATATAAAGATAATACTCGCTAATAAATAAGATAATTTTTTAATAAGAGTATATCGTATTATAAGAAATATAGATTAATCGAATTATTTCAATATATTAATTATCTTATTTATCTCGCTATTTATAATATCTTTTTTATATAATAATATATATTATATAAAGATAAGTTAACTATTTATATATTAAAGATAAATAAACTATTCCTTTATAAGATTAAGAGTTATTCTTTTAATTCTATTAATATTAATAAGAGTACTATAAAAGAAAATCTTAAGATTATTAAGAATATTTATATAGAGTAAATTAAAATTTTATGAGAAGATCTCTATTAAAGTATTAACCTACGTCTCATATATAATAATTAACTTATATTCGCTTAATTATTAAGTATTAAACGATATCGTATTAAGTAAGAGGCTTTTAATTTTAATTAAATAATCTAATTAATATCTATATCGTCCTTATTCCACATTAAAATAATCTATTTAACGATTATTTATAAAGTCTATTAGAAGAGTACTTTATTATTTAATCTCGAAAAGATTAATAAGATTAATTTAAAAATAGTTAATTAAGTTAGTAATTCTTAGAAAACTAAGTAAACGAATTATAAATTTAATAATTTATTATATTTACGATATATTTAGAACTTTTAAAATTAAAAGAATATCGAGCTAGTAAAAAAGAATAATTTCTAAATATTAGATAAATTTCTTATTTACTTATTCTAGACTCGAATAATTACGATATTCTAAATATATATCTTATCTTTTAATAGTAAGTAGAGTTATATTATAATAGAGTATTAGCTTATTACTTATATAATCGAAAAGATAAATAAGATTATAATTTTTATTCGAAAGAATTTATTTATTAGAAAACTAGCTAACGAAAAGAATACTACTTATTAAAATTATATAAAGTTCTTATAGAGTATAAAGCTATATTTTATTCTAAAGCACGGTATTAAATAGAATAATATTAATTTAATTTCTTATACTTTAAATCGAATATATTTCTTCTTTTATAAATCGAGGTTTTATTATTACGTGAAATTAATATTTTAATAAAAATATTATATTAATTATAATAGCGATAGCTTCGCTATTAATAAAAGATTAATTTAGATTATTCTTTCTAACTTTCTTATTAATATAATTAGATAATAAGATATATAAAAAGAGATTAATCTATTTAATAAGTATCTTAATAATAAAATAAAAATTATATTTCGTAAGCGGTGTAATTCTTTATTCGATTTCGATTATCTATTTAAATATATCTCTCTTAATATTTAATTTTTTAAAGATATTAAAAAGTTATTCTAGTTATTCTTTAAGATTTATTAGAATAATTATTACTCGATAAAGAATCTCGCTATTAACTTATTTCGATATATTAGAAAGTTATAAGTAAACTTTATATAGTGAAATAATAATTAATTTAATATAAAAGTAATATTAGATTTATTTTTCGACGACGTAGCGAGTATAGTTAAGATCGTTAATATATATAATAAGTAGTTATCTAATAATCTACTTACGAATAAAGTCTTATTAGAAGAAAGAAGAAAGTTAAATTAGAAGTTAGATAATATAAATAATAATAACGATATAAAAGACTTCTATTTAGATATATATAATAAATAAATATTATTTTTAAATAAATAAACTTTATTTAAAGTTTACTTCGAAGTCTATAAAATATACTATAATCTTATTTTTTAGCTATTAATATTTAATTACTTAAACTCTTACTAATTAATAATAATACTTTAAAAAATCTATTAAGTATATATTCTTTATTAATATATCTAAGAACTACTTTTAAAGCTATATTACGCTATTATTAAATCTTATTATCGCTATTT